CTCCGACCACTACTTTGTATCCTTTTCTCTCTCGCTCTCCTCCAACACTACTCACTCTGCCCCTACTCAGATGGTAATGTGCCGTCGCAACCTTCGCTCTCTCTCTCCCGCTACTCTCTCCTCTTCCATCCTATCATCTCTTCCCTCTGCTAAATCCTTCTCCCTCCGATCTCCTGATTCTGCCTCCTCAACCCTCCTCTCCTCCCTTTCTGCATCTTTTGACTCTCTATATCCCCTATCCTCCCGGCCGGCTCGGTCCTCCCCTCCTGCTCCGTGGCTTGACGACTCATTGCGAGCTCACAGAAGAGGGCTCCGGGCACCCGAGCGGAAATGGAGGGAAACTAGACTCCCTGCGGACCTGTCATCTTTTCACTCCCTCCTCTCTACATTCTCTTCCTCTGTTTCCGCTGCTAAAGCCACTTTCCACCACTCTAAATTTAAAGCCTCTGCCTCTAACCCTAGGAAGCTCTTTGCCACCTTCTCCTCCCTGTTGAATCCTCCTCCTCCTCCCTCTCTGTGGATGACTTCGTCAACCATTTTGAAAAGAAGGTTGACGACATCCGATCCTCATTTATTAAGTCAAATGACACCGCTGGTCCTGCTCACAATGCCCTACCCTATGCTTTGACTTCTTTCTCCCCTCTCTCTCCAGATGAAATCTTGCGACTTGTGACGGCCGGCCGCCCAACAACCTGCCCGCTTGACCCTATCCCCTCCTCTCTTCTCCAGACCATTTCCGGAGACCTTCTCCCTTACCTCACCTCACTCATCCTTGACCGCTGGCCATGTCCCTTCCGTCTTCAAGAGAGCGAGAGTTGCACCCCTCCTCAAAAAACCTACACTCGATCCCTCTGATGTCAACAACTACAGACCAGTATCCCTTCTTTCTTTTCTCTCCAAAACTCTTGAGCGTGCCGTCTCTAGCCAACTCTCCTGTTATCTCTCTCAGAATGACATTCTTGATCCAAACCAGTCAGGTTTCAAGACTGGTCATTCAACTGAGACTGCTCTTCTCTGTGTCACGGAGGCTCGCCGCACTGCTAAAGCTAACTCTCTCTCCTCTGCTCTTATCCTTCTAGACTTATCCGCTGCCTTTGATACTGTGAACCATCAGATCCTCCTCTCCACCCTCACTGAGTTGGGCATCTCCGGCGCTGCTCACTCTTGGATTGCGTCCTACCTAACATCAAAGCGGTGACCCGATCCTGCAGGTTCATGCTCTACAACATTCGCAGAGTACGACCCTACCTTATACAGAAAGCGGCACAGGTCCTAATCCAGGCACTTGTCATCTCCCGTCTGGATTACTGCAACTCGCTGTTGGCTGGGCTCCCTGCCTGTGCCATTAAACCCCTACAACTTATCCAGAACGCTGCAGCCTGTCTGGTGTTCAACCTTCCCAAGTTCTCTCATGTCACCCCGCTCCTCCGCACACTCCACTGGCTTCCAGTGGAGGCTTGCATCTACTACAAGACCATGGTGCTTGCCTACGGAGCTGTGAGGGGAACGGCACCTCCTTACCTTCAGGCTCTGATCAGACCCTACACCCAAACGAGGGCACTACGTTCATCCACCTCTGGCCTGCTAGCTCCCCTACCTCTACGGAAGCACAGTTCCCACTCAGCCCAGTCAAAGCTATTCGCTGCTCTGGCACCCCAATGGTGGAACAAGCTCCCCCACGACGCCAGGACAGCAGAGTCACTGACCACCTTCCGGAGACACTTGAAGCCCTACCTCTTTAAGGAATACCTGGAATAGTGGTTGTCCCACTGGCTATCATAAGTTGAATGCACCAATTTGTAAGTCGCTCTGGATAAGAGCGTCTGCTAAATGATGTAAATGTAAATAATCTTATATTATCATCAAATCTATTACATTGATTGGACTTCATAATTGTTATTATCATTTTATGCAAAGTCCTCATCACACCAGTCAAGTCAGCGTCACTCTAGGCTACATTACCGGCTAGCTAGCTGAACATCTATTTTCAGAGCTCGACTCCACAATGTCTGTGTGTTGCAGGCAGCTATGTGAATCTGATGTTCTTCTTGATCTGAATCAAAATGTACCAGTCTCATAGAGATAGATAGAGGACTCATCTTTGTGTCTGTGTAATTATAGAGTCTGTGACAGCATGGGCAGCGCCATTGAGACAATCTCCGTTTTGAAGAAGTCCATTTTATTTTTCACGATTAGCTGATCCCTTCTGATGCCCCGGTTGGACATGGATCAGCCAATGAAGTTGGAAGTCCCACCCAGTTGACTATATTAAAATGGTGGATGTCCTCAATGGCGTCGCCAATGCAAATGAAGCCTTTTTGGCCATTAGAGGCCTCTATCATTCTCTATGACCAGTCTAGCCAATAAGGTGTTATACATTGTGTGGCCTGTGGGAGGTGGTACACCAACGCCTTTTTCTCCGTTCGAAGGGAAGGTAAAGTTAACTATGTAACCGGCGCAAAGCGATTGTCACTAGCTACCACAGACACAAAGTCATAAACCCCGCCCATTTCTACAATTTATCTTCTTAAAATCTGATTTTCAACCTAACCCTAAACCCACTGCAAACCTTAGGCCTAAAAAGACCAAAAAAATCTTAAGACCTAAATGCTCATTTTAGTTTTCATGAATTCTTACGATAAAACCAATTTTGACTTTGTGTCGGAGCTATCTAGTGGAAACCGGCAACTAGCCCCCAACCGGAAACACAACGTTTCGACCCCGAAAGAGCGGTGCACATGGAAACACACCGCCGACCGGAGTTGATGAATGAATTAACTTCAGATGGATTATTGTGATCATATTCAACTCTAAATTTGATAGAATAAGCTCTTTACCGAGGTAGGGTAAAATAATAGCAAGGTTTGAGGTCTAGCGTTTTCTCTAACTACTCGCTCAATAGCATGGCATTGCTAACAAGCTAGCATTAACCACCACGTTATAGCTAACGTTACTATTTTTCTGTGTTAGTTTCACAAGGTAGCTAGCTATCACAGCAACATTAAATCCTATTCCCTGCATGGTCATATCAACTATGTTTCGGACATGATTATGGGTGTAGGTAACGTTTAGCCATTAGCAAACGTTAGATATCCAAACGTAATGCCAACGTTTTGCTGCGTGTACTTTGCCAATGTGGCGTCTGTCTGCGTGACAATTGTTATCTTTGATTAAAGTTAACTAACGCCTAGGAAGTTATCATTCACCAGCTCTGCGAGCGTTATAATGTCACAATACGTTAATTGAATTTCGCTGAGAAACTATCTTGATTTACTCCCGTTACGGCCTTCAAAAAAAGGTCTAAATAAATAGGTCCAATAAAGATATTAGCTCAAATACTTATTTTGTATATCCTGTGACTATCAATCGTCCGTAAAATATCTGTGTAAATCAATTGGTCCCGATTAAGCATGAACAACAGTACAACTATAAAACTCTAAGAACCAAAATAACTTCTCATTGGCTTATCATTATTATAACGTCTATTTTAACTCTTGCAGAGCTGGTGAATTTGAGTTTGAATCGGAGCATTCTGGGCTTTAGAGGTCCCTAACGCACAGATACTGGTTGAACTAGGTAAATACTTAATTTATAAGTATGTATTTTATATATTTAATCATGTAACCATGTATTCTACCCCTGAAAGAGAATGCTTAGCTATATTAATATTCAGTTCTGCTGGCTAGAATAGGGCTGTGTAGTCAATAGTGTGCACATCTGAATAAATATGGTAGAATAAATATGGTAGTCAATCGCAGGGTAGTCAATCGCAGGTGTCTTGTCAGTAGGCTGGCGTTCCATTGGCTGATATGGGTTCATTCTCTTGACTGTCTTCTTCTTCTTTAGATATACACTACTCACTGTACCTAACATATTCTGCTTTGTTTTTGTTGTCCCCTTCCCTCCCTCATAGCCTACCATGCTGAGGTGGTGAGACTGGGTGTTCACAGTGATATGGTAATGTGTAGTGAATGGCGCCGGACACTGACAACACAGGACACAACAACAACAACAAGGAACAGCAGTGATTTGCCTGTGATGAGTGGCGACGGCACTGGTTTGGGGGCCCTTGGCCCGCTAGCGGGGTATTGGGAAAAAGTCAGTTGAACTCGTATTGTCTTCCTCTCACTTACTGTCACTTGTGCAAAGCTATTTTGGGTCAGAGAGATGCTGTCTGATTGGGCAGGCAGAATCCTCTTGTATCCAAAATCAAAGTTTAAAAAAAGACAAACTCAACAAAACAAAGAAACTGAAACTTTGGTTTCAAAAGGCGAAAGGTTTTGATCTGTTGTGTGTGGGTGTTTTTGAGGGTTAGATTGATTGACATGCTGCCTGGTACAATGCTCAACTTAAAAAATTATTCTCATATCGACTGGATTGATACTCCACTGTACTAAACGATATCTTGAGATACACTAAAAAAATCAATGATACTGTGTACTCTAATCTGATACTCCAGTGTACTATATTTTACATTTTAGTCATTTAGCAGATGTTCTTATCCAGAGCGACTTAGTTAGTGAGTGCATACATTTTTCATTCTGACATTGAGATACTCTCTGATTCTAAATGATACCGTGTACGATACTCTGTGATGGCACTAAATTATATTTTGACGATGCAAGTATCGGGATATATTTTCCCATGCATTAAATGAAAACACGAAGCAGACTATACTCTTTGGGCCTTTAAAAACCTGCTGTATGTAAAATATTGTGTGCTATAGCTTGAAAAATAAATAAATGTGACTCTGGATGACAACATAATGTTTGTTTACAACATTAGGGCTGTCTTCCTAAAGAAGTTAAAAATGCTTCATGTTTTGTCTTCTTGCCAAGATACTAACGAGTATCACGATACTGGTGATACTCTATTGTACTCAACTTTACTCAATGATACTGTACAATACTCTGTGTAAATACTGTATGTGGTTGACCAGGTTGCCCTCCCCTACTGATATCTATCAGGGTATTAACATATGTTGTGATTGGTCCCTGCAGATCCAGGAGCGCTCAGCTTTGTTGGAGACCTGTCCATGGTGTGCTGCTAAAGGACAGACTCAGGCCCTGCGCTCCTACAGGATCAACTTCCAGGAGTTCATCACTCTCTGCACTGACCCACAGGTAGGGTATCGTTAAAACACACACATGCGCTCACTCACTTACACACACACACACACACAGATGTGCGCACACAATCAGCACAACGTCAACAAAAACAGTGGGGTATTTCACAAAGCAGGATCAATGAGTGAATCCTAAACTGTCTGAACAAGACACCAGTTTTGGTAGTTTCCTAAAGAAACCTCTGAACAAGACACTAGTTTTAGTAGTTTCCTAAATAAACCTCTGAACAAGACACTAGTTTTAGTTTCCTAAATTAACCTCTGAACAAGACACCAGTTTTAGTAGTTTCCTAAATTAACCTCTGAACAAGACACCAGTTTTAGTAGTTTCCTAAATAAACCTCTGAACAAGACACTAGTTTTAGTTTCCTAAAGAAACCTCTGAACAAGACACTAGTTTTAGTAGTTTCCTAAAGAAACTGTGTCCTGTGTCTGGGTTTGCTTTGTTGTCCGGCATAGTGGCAGTATTATGGCTGAATTCTGTGTTACTGTCGGTAGTAAATGCAGTCAGAAACTGTGCTAAAGTATCCTTTCACTCTGCTACTTTATAGTGTGAGTGTTGTCCTGTAGTGTTGTCATTCAATGCAAGAGTGAATACAAGTAGTAGGGTCAAGAAACAATATGAAGTCAATGTGAAGTTTGAACTTCCCAGACAGTTGCCCATAATTATTTCTTAATTCAACCACGCCTCTTGCCAGGCCATCCTTTTTAATTAAGAATTGACTTGCCTGTTTTAAATAAACAAATGCATCAGAGTAACCTCTCCCCCTCTACCCTACAGTGCCTGTTTCCCCTGGTCTCCAGGCCTTTGGAGGATGTCCTGGACAGCCTCGTACCCCCTCTACTCCAAACTCAGACGGGGAACAAGAGGAAGAGCCCCTGCGGGTTGGAGAACGGAGACCCTGTACCTTCCCCCAAACGTGCACGATCGGTGGATTCAGAAGTGGCAGAGGAGGCCGTATCACAGAGTGGAGCTCTATCAGTCAGCAGCATCGCCAACAAACTCAATGGGGGAGAAGAGTGCTTTAATGGGAAGAAGCGTGCAGTACAGAAGGAAAGAATCAGCCAGTCAGAACACACCGACATGGATGTGGTGGATAAAACCCTCAAACACCCACTTCCTGAGACTGAGAGGGGAGGGGCCAACGGATACCACAAGGATTCTGGTTGGTCGATGCCAGAAGAAATGAACCAGGAAGTCCTAGAAGAGGAAGAAGATGGTGTCTTTCTCCCAGAGGAGGGTACACCTACCTTAGACAAGGGTTTGCCTCTCCAAGAGAAGACTGTACCGGTCTTACAGGTGGCCGTTTCTGTTGTAGAGCCTACCGTAGAGACTGAAGGTGCACCAAAGGTGGTTAAGATTATCTCTACCTTAGAGGAGGCTGTATTTGCCCTAGAGGAGACTTTATCTGCCCCGCAGGTAGCCATTTCTGTCCATGAGAAGATTTCACCTCCCTTACACGTGGCCGTTTCTGCCTCAACGTCTGCCCCAGAGAAACCGTTGGCCAAGGCTGCCTTAGTGGAAGCTACACCATCACATCAGAAGGTTAACCCTCCCTTACAGGACACAGTCTCTCTCCTAGAGGCTCTGACTGCCCCAGGGGAAGCTACACCATCACATCAGAAGGTTAACCCTCCCTTACAGGACACAGTCTCTCTCCTAGAGGCTCTGACTGCCCCAGGGGAAGCTACACCAGCACATCAGAAGGTTAACCCTCCCTTACAGGACACAGTCTCTCTCCTAGAGGCTCTGACTGCCCCAGGGGAAGCTACACCATCACATCAGAAGGTTAACCCTCCCTTACAGGACACAGTCTCTCTCCTAGAGGCTCTGACTGCCCCAGGGGAAGCTACACCAGCACATCAGAAGGTTAACCCTCCCTTACAGGACACAGTCTCTCTCCTAGAGGCTCTGACTGCCCCAGGGGAAGCTACACCAGCACATCAGAAGGTTAACCCTCCCTTACAAAGGACTGTGTCTGCACCCGAGGATGGTGTGTCTGCACCCGAGAAGGTGGGGACACCTGCCATGGAAGCTGTCCTCGTGTTGCAGGAAGCTCTGACCGTCTTAGAGGAGGCTTCACCTGGCATTAACAAGGGTCTCTCTGTCTTAGAGAAAGGTGAGGAAGAGGAGTGTTTAATGGAGGAGGAGGAGGAGGAGGAAGAAGTGGTTACACTTGTGGCCTTGGAGGCTGTCCCTGCCTCAGAGAAAGACGAGGAGCAGGTGGATGATGAGTACGGAGAGGAGGATCTGCCTGTCTTTGACGAGGAAGAGGAGGAAGAGTGCCCCCCAGAGGTGATGTGTAGGCCCTGTAGTGTGGACCTCAGTCAGAGCAAAGTGCCTGTTGAAGTTCATGTTGTGGGGGATGATGATGATGAAGATGCTGGTCCTATCAGAGCTAGAAGAAGAGCTCAGAACGCCCGGCAACTAATCAGTAGCGAGGACGAGATGACTGACGCAACCATGGAAACGGAACAGGAAGGAAGCGTCATGGAGGAAGTGGAAGTCGTGGCACCACCGCTGAAAAAGAAAATGGGCCGGCCGAGAAAGACTCCTATTATTAAATACACGCAGGAAGTGGGTCCCCACTTTGACCCGGAAGTTATCTTGACTGGGGAGTTGGTCCCGGTTCCCGGGCCTCACCTGTTCTGGAGGAATGAGAACAGTCTGTGTTGGCTGGACACCTTGCTGGTAGCGCTGGTCCACTGTCACACCCTGAGGGACAGACGACCCACCAAGAGGCCCACTGTAGGTCAACCTGTCTGGGACCTGTGTGAGAGATACGACCGGGCCTGTGGTCTCATTACAGCCTACCAACACACTGACGCAGGTGGGTGGACTTATCTATTTAGTAAGGTTTATTTGAATTGATGTAGAACATTGGCAGCTAAGAGCTGAATATCTATTTGGAATGGGAATGAATGTAGCCGTGTTCTACTAAGCTATATGGAATTGTTTTAAGAAGGTCATACCAAGGACCATTTAGCTATTTGAGTTAGAATTCTAAGACCCCTTGAAGTATACATTTGTTTTTACTGCTATTAGCCCAAACAAACGCATTGAATAAAATATTCAATACATGGAACAAACAATAGATTCCCCAAAAAAATCCTAAGGAAGTTTTGTTCTGAAGTGTCTGTCCTATATCTGAGAGATATAGATCAGGATGTATTTATTTTTATTTTTAAAAATGTATTTAACCCCTTATTTTAGGCACTAAACAGTCACCATATACAGTACCAGTCAAAAGTTTGGACACACCTACTCATTCCAGCGTTTTTCTTTCTTTTTACTATTTTCGACATTGTAGAATAACAGTGAAGACATCAAAACTATGAAATAACACATATGGAATCATGTAGTAACCAAAAAAGTGTTAAACAAATCAAAATATATACAGTGGGGAGAACAAGTATTTGATACACTGCCGATTTTGCAGGTTTTCCTACTTACAAAGCATGTAGAGGTCTGTAATTTTTTATCATAGGTACACTTCAACTGTGAGAGATGGAATCTAAAACAAAAATCCAGAAAATCACATTGTATGATTTTTAAGTAATTAATTTGCATTTTACTGCATGACATAAGTATTTGATCACCTACCAACCAGTAAGAATTCCGTCTCTCACAGACCTGTTAGTTTTTCTTTAAGAAGCCCTCCTGTTCTCCACTCATTACCTGTATTAACTGCACCTGTTTGAACTCGTTACCTGTATAAAAGACACCTGTCCACACACTCAATCAAACAGACTCCAACCTCTCCACAATGGCCAAGACCAGAGAGCTGTGTAAGGATATCAGGGATAAAACTGTAGACCTGCACAAGGCTGGGATGGGCTACAGGACAATAGGCAAGCAGCTTGGTGAGAAGGCAACAACTGTTGGCGCAATTATTAGAAAATGGAAGAAGTTCAAGATGACGGTCAATCACCCTCGGTCTGGGGCTCCATGCAAGATCTCACCTCGTGGGGCATCAATGATCATGAGGAAGGTGAGGGATCAGCCCAGAACTACACGGCAGGACCTGGTCAATGACCTGAAGAGAGCTGGGACCACAGTCTCAAAGAAAACCATTAGTAACACACTACGCCATCATGGATTAAAATCCTGCAGTGCACGCAAGGTCCCCCTGCTCAAGCTAGCGCATGTCCAGGCCCGTCTGAAGTTTGCCAATGACCATCTGGATGATCCAGAGGAGGAATGGGAGAAGGTCATGTGGTCTGATGAGACAAAAATAGAGCTTTTTGGTCTAAACTCCACTCGCCGTGTTTGGAGGAAGAAGAAGGATGAGTACAACCCCAAGAACACCATCCCAACCGTGAAGCATGGAGGTGGAAACATCATTCTTTGGGGATGCTTTTCTGCAAAGGGGACAGGACGACTACACCGTATTGAGGGGAGGATGGATGGGGCCATGTATCGCGAGATCTTGGCCAACAACCTCCTTCCCTCAGTAAGAGCATTGAAGATGGGTCGTGGCTGGGTCTTCCAGCATGAAAACGACCCGAAACACACAGCCAGGGCAACTAAGGAGTGGCTCCGTAAGAAGCATCTCAAGGTCCTGGAGTGGACTAGCCAGTCTCCAGACCTGAACCCAATAGAAAATCTTTGGAGGGAGCTGAAAGTCCGTATTGCCCAGCGACAGCCCCGAAACCTGAAGGATCTGGAGAAGGTCTGTATGGAGGAGTGGGCCAAAATCCCTGCTGCATTGAGTCTCCTGAGTGGCGCAGTGGTCTAAGGCACTGCATCGCAGTGCTAACTGTGTCACTAGAGATCCTGGTTCGAATCCAGGCTCTGTCGCAGCCGGCCGCGACCGGGAGACTCATGGGCGGCGCACAATTGGCCCAGCGTCGTCCAGGGTAGGGGAGGGAATGGCCGGCAGGGATGTAGCTCAGTTGATAGAGCATGGCGTTTGCAACGCCAGGGTTGTGGGTTCGATTCCCACAGGGGGCCAGTATAAAAAAATATGTATTCACTAACTGTAAGTCGCTCTGGATAAGAGCGTCTGCTAAATGACTAAAATGTAAATGTAAATGTAATGCATTGTGTGCAAACCTGGTCAAGACCTACAGGAAACGTATGATCTCTGTAATTGCAAACAAAGGTTTCTGTACCAAATATTAAGTTGTGATTTTCTGATGTATCAAATACTTATGTCATGCAATAAAATGCAAATTAATTACTTAAAGATCATACAATTTGATTTTCTTGATTTTTGTTTTAGATTCCGTCTCTCACAGTTGAAGTGTACCTATGATAAAAATTACAGACCTCTACATGCTTTGTAAGTAGTAAAACCTGCAAAATCGGCAGTGTATCAAATACTTGTTCTCCCCACTGTATATATTGATTCTTCAAATAGCCACCCTTTGCCTTGATGACAGCTTTCCACACTCTTGGCATTCTCTCAACCAGCTTTACCTGGAATGCTTTTCCAACAGTCTTGAAGGAGTTCCCACATATGCTGAGCACTTGTTGGCTGCTTTTCCTTCACTCTGCTGTCTGACTCATCCCAAACCATCTCAATTTGGTTGAGGTCGGGTGATTGTGGAGGCCAGGTCATCTGATGCAGCACTCCATCACTTTCCTTCTTGGTAAAATAGCCCTTACCCAGCCTGGAGGTGTCTTGGGTCATTGTCCTGTTGAAAAACAAATGATAGTCCCACTAAGCCCAAACCAGATGGGATGGCGTATCGCTGCAGAATGCTGTGGTAGCCATGCTGGTTAAGTGTGCCTTGAATTCTAATTAAATCACATACAGTGTCATCAGCAAAGCACCCCCACACCATAACACCTCCATGCTTCACGGTGGGAAATACACATGCAGAGATCATCCGTTCACACACACCACGTCTCACAAAGACACGGCGGTTGGAACCAATAATCTCCAATTTGGACTCCAGACTAAAGGACACATTATACCGGTCTAATGTCCATTGCTCATGTTTCTTGGCCCAAGCAGGTGTCTTCTTCTTATTGGTGTCCTTTAGTAGTGGTTTCTTTGCAGCAATTCGACCATGAAGGCCTGATTCACACAGTCCCCTCTGAACAGTTGATGTTGAGATGTGTCTGTCACTTGAACTCTGTGAAGCATTTATTTGTGCTGCAATTTCTGAGGCTGGTAACTCTAATGAACGTATCCTCTGCAGCAGAGGTAACTCTGGGTCTTCCATTCCTGTGGTTGACCTCATGAGAGCCAGTTTCATCATAGCGCTTGATGGTTTTTGCGACTGCACTTGAAGAAAAGTTATTGAAATGTTCTGCACTGACTGACCTTCATGTCTTAAAGTAATGATGGGCTGTTGTTTCTCTTTGCTTATTTGAGCTGTTCTTGCCATAATATGGACTTGGTCTTTTACCAAATAGGGCTATCTTCTGTATAACCCCCCTACCTTGTCACAACACAACTGATTGGCACAAACGCATTAAGAAGGAAAGGAATTCCACAAATTGACTTTTAAGAAGGCACACCTGTTAATTGAAATGCATTCAAGGTGACTACCTCATGAATCTGGTTGAGAGAATGCCAAGAGTGTGCAAAGCTGTCATCAAGGCAAAGGGTGGCTATTTGAAGAATCTCAAATATAACATATATTTTGATTTTACACTTTTTTGGTTACTACATGATTCCATATGTGTTATTTCATAGTTTTGATGTCTTCACTATTATTCTACAATGTAAAAATAGAGAAAAACCCTTGAATGAGTAGGTGTGTCCAAACTTTTGACTGGTAGTGTAAACTTCCATGCATTTTTTCAACTGGTACCGGGGGACCTTCAGACAAGTCTCCTGAGGCCTGTGGGCGTCCTAGAGCAAAACAACCGACATGTTCGTGAGAGTCTCACCTTTACACAGATGGATCATATTAGTGTGTAATCCAAGCTGTTCGAATGCTACAGACAGAAGTTGGCAGATTGACTGTACCGATTTCAGACGAGTCCCAAGACGCCTGTGGAGGTCCTAGAGCAAAATGGAGAACATCGTCTTCCTGAGTCTCATTTTGTGAGAAGACCAATTTTCGTGATGTCTCATGGTCTGCCAATCACCACTCTAGCTCTGTCACCTATTTTCACAGATACGGAAGTGCGACATCGGCGGATGCGGTGGATTGAGACTCATCCAATGCAACAACAAAATATATCTCTAGCTTAAACTGATGGATTTGTATGGGATAAAAAAAATGCTAATTAGATTTCCACGGGGGTGTGGACATCGACTCTAGGGGGGGTTTAACCAAGCTGCCTTCAGCAGAGTTTCTTGTGTTTTGATCTATTTCCCAATCCTAAATACAGAACTCAATTTGACTTTGGACTGCCTTTCACTTTCCAAAGAAGTAAAAAAAACATGTGTTTTTGTGCTGCCAGAATGCCATGTTTACACCTGTGTGTTTCTCTCCCTCTCATCTCTCTCCAGACGGAGTAGTCAGAGTGCCCTCTGCGGTGTTACAGAGGGTCCAGACGGAGATGCAGACCGCCAGGATGTCCATCTTTAAACTGCTGGAGCCTCTACTGAAATGCAAACTGGGTAAGAACCTGTCTGGGAAATCATAGAGGGCGTTGGGTGATGGCTCTCGGCAGTTCATAGATCAACAAACGTGTGAAAGCTCCGGATAAGAGCATCTGCAAGATGACTCGTGCAATTTGGGCTTTTTGTTCACGTGACCTTATCTTATCTACTTAGTCTAAAGTAATATACAGTGCCTTCAGAAAGTATTCATACCCCTCGACTTACTCCCCAAAAAATGGTTACAGCCTGAATTCAAATTTTTTTCTGTGCAAATGTATTAAATTAAATACAGAAATATTTCATTGACATAAGTATTCACACCCCCTGAGTTAATACTATATAGAAGCACCTGTGGCAGTGATTACAGCTGTAAGTCTTTCTGGGTAAGTCTCTTAAGAGCTTTCCAAACCTGGATTGTGCAACATTTGCCCATTTTATTCTTTTAAAAATTATTTGAGTTCTGTCAAATAGGTTGTTGATCATTGTTCGACAACCATTTTCAGTTCTTGCCATAGATTTTCAAGGCGATTTAAGTCAAAACTGGAACTCGGCCACTCAGGAACATTCACTGTCTTTTTGGTAAGCAACTCTAACGTAGATTTGGCCTTGTGTTTTAGGTTATTGTCCTGCTGAAAGGTGAATTTGTCTCCCAGTGTCTGGTGGAAAGGAGACTGAACTAGGTTTTCCTCTATGATTATGCCTGTGCTTAGCTCCATTCCGTTTCTTTTTTATCCTGAAAAACATCCCAGTCCTTAATGGTTACAAGCATACCCATAACATGATGCAGCCACCACTATGCTTGAAAAAAAAAGTTACTTGCTTTGCCACATTATTTGCACTATTGCTTTAGTTCCTTGTTGCAAACAGGATGCATGTTTTGGAATACGCTTTACATTTACATTTTAGTCATTTAGCAGACGCAGATTTGAACGTTATTGGGGTTGAATACTAATTGACTTGTTGACATTTCAGCTTTTAATTAATTTGTAAGAACTTTGAATAACCTAATATTGGGCGTATTGTGTGTAGGCCAGTGACCAAAAATCTCAATTGAATCCATTTTAAATTCAGGCTGTAACACAACAAAATGTGGGAAAAGTCTAGGGGTGTGACTACTTTCTGAAGGCACTGTATGATAAAGTCGTATATAATAATATACACTGAGTGTACAAAACATTAAGAACACCTGCTCTTTCCATGACATAGCTTTCACCTGGTCAGTCTATGATCCCTTATTGATGTCACCTGTTAAATCCACTTCAAATCAGTGTAGATGAAGGGGGGGAGACAGGTTAAATAAGGATTTTTAAGCCTTGAGACAATTGAGACATGGATTGTGTATGTGTGCCATTCAGAGGGTGAATGGGCAAGACAAAATATTTAAGTGCCTTTGAACGGGGTATGGTAGTAGGTGCCAGGCGCACCGGTTTGTGTCAAGAACTGAGTGTACCAAACATTTTACATTTACGTCATTTAGCAGACGCTCTTATCCAGAGCGACTTACAAATTGGTGCATTCACCTTATAGCCAGTGGGATAAACACTTTACAATATGTTTTTTGGGGGGTGGGGTAAGGGGGGGTAGAAGGATTACTTTATCCTATCCCAGGTATTCCTTAAAGAGGTGGGGTTTCAAGTGTCTCGGGAAGGTGGTGAGTGACTCTGCTGTCCTAGCATCGTGAGGGAGCTTGTTCCACCATTGGGGTGCCAGAGCAGTGAACAGTTTGAGTGTACCAAACATTAGAAACACCTTCCTAATACCTTTTGACCTCAGAACAGTCTCAATTCGTCAGGGCATGGACTCAACATTGTGTCAAGTGTTCCACAGGGATGCTGGCCCATGTTGACTCCAATGCTTCCCACAGTTGTGTCTAGTTGTCTGGATGTCCTTTGTGTGGTGGGACCATTCTTGATACACACAGGAAACTGTTGAGCAGGAAAAACCCAGAAGCGTTGCAGTTCTTGACGCAAACCTGTGCGCCTGGCACCTACTACCATACCCCGCTCAAAGGCACCTAAATATTTTGTCTTGCCCATTCACCTTCTGAATGGCACATGTACACAATCCATGTCTCAATTGTCTCGAGGCTTAAAAATCCTTCTTTAATCTGAATGGCACATGTACACAATCCATGTCTCAATTGTCTCTAGGCTTAAAAATCCTTCTTTAACCTGTCTCCTCCCCTTCATATACCCTGATTTTGAAGTAGATTTAAAAAGTGACATCAATAAGGGATCATAGCTTTCACCTGGTCAGTCTGTGCCATGGAAAGAGCAGGTGTTCTTGAGACTTTGTATACTGTGTACATTACAGTATATGCCATTTATCAGACACTATCCAAAGCGACTTACAGTCATGCAACATTTTATGTATGGGTGGTCCCGAGAATCAAACCCATATTGAGCTATAAAAGAGAGGCGTGAACAGACCTTCTCCCTGGGAGAATCTCAATTACATACTCATCGCGTCCTCTCTCCTCGCCGCCTCCTCAAAACCCGTTGGAGGAGAAGGTCAGAGGGGAGGGACCTCTGGCTTTCTCATCCAATGGGTTTTGAGGAGAGAGGGCGCGAGGAGTATGCAATTGAGATTGTCCCACTGTGTGCTCACTAAAGTTAACTTTCTCTGGCGGCTGTGTCGTCACGCGCTCCACGCAACAAACTTTTTTTTCCTGACTGGGAAATTTGGAATGCAACTCGAGGTAAGCAACCTGTGTTCAAAATAATGCTGTGATTTTATGTTTGATAAGAAGCAAATTATACTGTAGTTGCATGTATGTTTCAATAGCGCAAACTATCACACACAAAGTTATTAACGTTAACTAGCTAGCTATGTTAGCATCTAAGCTGGCAAGCTAACATTACCAGTGAATAATGGTGTATGTTTCTCATATCGAAATGAATGACTGAACAGAATGCGTCCTACAAATAGAATATCAAGAGGTCAGAGCGTGATGTTAGATATGTCATATCAGAATGAGTGCTTCATCCAATAATATCACGTGTAACAGCTGTGAGCAGCCAGCCACATCCCCTAACCAGCCATTAGTCTACTCAGCTGCTTCCCTCCAGACCCGGCGCCAGGATAAAGTGACTAAGGGGGCAGTTGAAATCGTTGAGGTGGCACAGTTTGTGGGGGTTCTTGCATTGGAATTATATAGAGTTCTGCTTAAATCGCTCAATACCACAAACAAAGTTAAAATGCTGAGACACTGAGACCATTTAGTGCTTTTGAAGTGACATGCTACCTCCGCTGCGCTGTTGTTATGTGAATTATTAAACAAACTATTTCAGTGTCTCTGTGCGTCTCCCAAAAGGTTGTAAGTCTTTTGGGATTTAAGTAACGGACAGAGTTCCGATCTGCATAGTCAGAGATCTTTATTCATTGAGAATTCTGCCATCACAATTTCAGAGTCCATCTTTTATACTCATACGTCATACAAACATCCCTCCTCTCTGTAGGCAGGCTGTAGTTTTCCACTTTCAAACTGCTCTCCTAACCATTAGGTCACACACATACAGTGGGGAAAAAAAGTATTTAGTCAGCCACCAATTGTGCAAGTTCTCCCACTTAAAAAGATGAGAGAGGCCTGTAATTTTCATCATAGGTACACGTCAACTATGACAGACAAATTGAGATTTTTTTTCTCCAGAAAATCACATTGTAGGATTTTTAATGGATTTATTTGCAAATTATGGTGGAAAATAAGTATTTGGTCACCTACAAACAAGCAAGATTTCTGGCTCTCACAGACCTGTAACTTCTTCTTTAAGAGGCTCCTCTGTCCTCCACTCGTTACCTGTATTAATGGCACCTGTTTGAACTTGTTATCAGTATAAACGACACCTGTCCACAACCTCAGTCACACTCCAAACTCCACTATGGCCAAGACCAAAGAGCTGTCAAAGGACACCAGAAACAAAATTGTAGACCTGCACCAGGCTGGGAAGACTGAATCTGCAATAGGTAAGCAGCTTGGTTTGAAGAAATCAACTGTGGGAGCAATTATTAGGAAATGGAAGACATACAAGACCACTGATAATCTCCCTCGATCTGGGGCTCCACGCAAGATCTCACCCGTGGGGTCAAGATGATCACAAGAACGGTGAGCAAAAATCCCAGAACCACACAGGGGGACCTAGTGAATGACCTGCAGAGAGCTGGGACCAAAGTAACAAAGCCTACCATCAGTAACACACTACGCCGCCAGGGACTCAAATCCTGCAGTGCCAGACGTGTCCCCCTGCTTAAGCCAGTACATGTCCAGGCCCGTCTGAAGTTTGCTAGAGTGCATTTGGATGATCCAGAAGAGGATTGGGAGAATGTCATATGGTCAGATGAAACCAAAATATAACTTTTTGGTAAAAACTCAACTCGTCGTGTTTGGAGGACAAAGAATGCTGAGTTGCATCCAAAGAACACCATACCTACTGTGAAGCATGGGGGTGGAAACATCATGCTTTGGGGCTGTTTTTCTGCAAAGGGACCAGGACGACTGATCCGTGTAAAGGAAAGAATGAATGGGGCCATGTATCGTGAGATTTTGAGTGAAAACCTTCCATCAGCAAGGGCATTGAAGATGAAACGTGGCTGGGTCTTTCAGCATGACAATGATCCCAAACACACCGCCCGGTCAACGAAGGAGTGGCTTCGTAAGAAGCATTTCAAGGTCCTGGAGTGGCCTAGCCAGTCTCCAGATCTCAACCCCATAGAAAATCTTTGGAGGGAGTTGAAAGTCCGTGTTGCCCAGCGACAGCCCCAAAACATCACTTCTCTAGAGGAGATCTGCATGAAGGAATGGGCCAAAAATACCAGCAACAGTGTGTGAAAACCTTGTGAAGACTTACAGAAAACGTTTGACCTGTGTCATTGCCAACAAAGGGTATATAACAAAGTATTGAGAAACTTTTGTTATTGACCAAATACTTATTTTCCACCATAATTTGCAAATACATTCATTAAAAATCCTACAATGTGATTTTCTGGATTTCTTTTTCTCATTTTGTCTGTCATAGTTGACGTGTACCTATGATGAAAATTACAGGCC